GTGACGAACTTCTTCCAATTCCGTTCCAAAGAATCTCTGTTGATTCAGTTTTCGAGTATCCCAGATTTATCCCGAATCTATCCGAAAGAAAGGAAAACTCCGCAGGGATGCTGGCCGTCGAATTCCACTTTGAAATTTCGAGCAAAAGTAAGATGCTAGAGGGAATTAAGAGTTAAAAAATTCGAAATCTGTACACCATATCCTCTGCTATTAATATTTAATATTTCTACTTGCAAGGAATCCTCGCTAATTCAAACGACTAAAACTCCTTTTAAAACTTACAGACGTCTTTGTTTCCCCAGTCTCAGACGTTCCTGCCCAGCGGATTTAGCAACGCAGACGAGGACAAGCAACTGCACGACGTCGGACTAGCAGGCTCGCAGGTGGCCGATCTTTCGTCGGAGGATCTGGTGCCGCCTCTGCCCGCATCGGAAGCGTTGCCGCCGATTTTCCCGGCGCAAAACTTCCTCGGCCAACGGTCCAGGCATCATCCCTCGACGAAGCAGGACACGAGCCTACCTCAGGAGGCTTCATTCGTCGGCTTATCTGGCCAGGATTTCAAGAACGGCGGCCAGCTGCTGCAACCGGGAGAGCAGAACGTCGAACAGATCGAAGAGCGCGATCAAAGGCAAAGCGCGAAGCAGATAAAGGAACCAGGTCAGGCTTCTTTGCTGTCTCAAGGTGAAAGTGGACAAAACGAAGAGGAGGAGGTCAGTGTTGGTTTTCACTTTCGAACACATTCCCTCCGTTCCTTACCAAATTTTTATAGTGTTATTATTGCCAGTATTTCGTTTTTTAATTGACTAAAATATACATATATATATTTTAATACAAATATATTATATTTGTATATCGTTATGATAATGTTAAATTTAGGCTTCCTTACGTAATAATTTAATAATATGATAATATCAATATATAAAATAATATAATATATATGTGTAAAATATATTATATTTATATATCGTTATGATAATATTAAATTTAGTAATAATATAATAATACGGTAATATAAATATATAAAATAATATAATAATATAAAATTTCAGTATAAAATGAGATTATGAAGGATTTATATAAAGGATTATGGTCTTCACAAAATAGTACACTGGCAATAATATTTGGTTCCTAATACATATTAAGCGTTTTTTTTTCTTTTTTTGCGTGCAAATGAAAGACAAAAATTTTTTATTAGATGATATATTGACTATTTTGTTCGACTTGATGATTCTGCATTCGAAACAATTCTTGTCTTCTCCGACAAAAAAAAAGAAAAATTCCAAGAACTGATTTAGTAAATCAATTCTGACACTTGACCATATGCGTCGAATAATTCTTTACGAGCTTGCACAATGTTTGCTATTTTTCCTTTCCGGGGAAAGTATATACAGCAGAATTTTGAAATAATCATTTTGAAATAATCAGCTTGAATATCAGATTACACAATGAAAATTCGTAATTTAAAAAGAAGCTACATTTTAAGATACACATAAGTAGACGTCCATCTATTAGAAAAAAAAAAAAAA